TGAACATTACAATATACTCACTCATACAATATTCCTAAATTTTGTATGGTATTCAAACATCCTACAATGAACAATATTTATTCCTGTAGGCCTAATATTGATTCAAACGCATTGATTGATGATGACTGAACATCGTGGCATGTCAAGGTATGAAAATTAGTTTCTATTTTAACTTCTTAGTGTACACTGCGCAGTGGTTGCACATGTGCAATCACATGCAGTGATGATCAGAACCTCCATGATCAGTATACTTATTTTGAAAAAAGTTGAAATTTTAAAGTGATTTATAATGACCAAAATCTCATTTGTGAAACTGATTCGAGATTCACGATAATCAGATAGTATTCTACTGATCTTTTTTGAAACATAGAACATGTGACCTGAAAATTATTCGCGGCATAAAAATTTTGCGAATCTGGACCATTCGCGAAATTCGCTGAAGTTTAATGCGTGCGAAATTTTCTGGTTTTACAGTAATTGGATGTAAAAGAACCATTGGACATTACGCTACATGATCCTTGACAGCGACTGGTATTAAAATGAGGGTACATACTGTACCCTAGCCCAGTGGTTCCTAGTCTATTATTCTGAGAAGATCTAATCTATCATTCTGAGCAGATCTAGTCAATTATTCTGAGAAGATAGTCTATTATTCTGAGAAGATCTAGTCTATTATTCTGAGCAGATCTAGTCTATTATACTGAGCAGATCTAGTATATTATTCTGAAAAGATCTAGATCTAAGCCCTGCCCAGACTCAAATTTTATTTGACAAAAACATGTGACATCATATATCATGACCATATATAGGCACACCATGACTAAATATGGGGATACAACAGTTTTCAGTCAAAGAAAAATTGACAATGTGGAGAAAGTTTTAGAAAAACATTTAATTGAGTTTGATTTGAGATTGTGTACATTATTATGACTCTAAGAGAGATCAGAAAATAATATAGTTGAAATGTTCAGAATATTCTCACAAAAACATGCACAGAAATTATGAAATTTGTGCAGATCGAAAATAAATAATAAAAAAAACTTTTATGTATATTGACAGTTGTCTGAGCTGCATTGAAGAATGATTCTCTGCGGAATGTTAATGTCAGAGGTCAGTGTAACCATTAATTTTAAGATAAATTATGGTAAGATAAATATTGGCAAGTGTGCTAAGTTATGTCTACAGCATGCAGGCACATAATGGTAATTATTAAATTGATTGTTCTTAAAAAAACATGCATTTTGTAAGAGAAAGATGAAGAGGTGATAAAAGCCACCATGTTAGGTGCGAAATTACAAAAAAAAACTTTGTTAATTGCTCCCGGCCCTGTGTTTTGATTGGTCGAGATTTAATCATTGTCACACAATCTTTGATCTGTGTCCATTTCGGACTAAACCATTACCTGTAAGGGGTGAGTAGGTTCAGCTTCGGTGGTTTATCGCATAGCATGTATAGCTCCCTCATAGTTGAGGGCATAGTGTGGCCAGCTACTACCTGTTGGTCCATGAGCGTAGTACTTTTGTAAGCTTTGCGCAAATGGATATCTTGTAATAAAACTGAAAAATGGCCAAAAAGAAATACAAAAAAAAAAGAACTAAAAAACCTGCCCATCACCATAAGGGCATGTTTGTTAGTTGAAAAATATAGATTGAAATAATAACATAGTATTACCATTCCATTTTACAGTACAAGGAAAAGTATACAGAAAGTCTCCTTGTTAAATTTATTCTGGCTAGAGTATACAAACTATATTTTTAAAGTTAAAGAATTTTTTTAATTTTTTTTTTTTAGAATTTTATTTAAATATAATTATTAGAAATAGGACTATTAACAACTTCTTTTCTGTGTTGTGCTTAAAAATTGCAAAAATAACAATTATCATATTTGTTCAATCGCTAGAACACATTTAATAAGAAGTCAATAGTTGTGTATAGTCATATTAAGAAGAAATCTCAAATGCATGACTAACAATTTTGCATCAGTAAAAGCTAATATTAATATTGTCCTGATTTAACTGAACACTGTATTTTTAAATACCTGATGGTTTACAATTTAACATATTTCTAGGTATTTAGAATTACAAATTTAAACAAACAAGTACTAACTGCTCAACAAATGGAATGGTTCAACTTTGTTACAATCTTTCTAAGTACTGCTGCTGAATAAAATGAATAATCAAATTTAGTTAATATAAAGGCAAAAACAGGACTACCAAGAGATTTTTGGGAAAAAACTGAAGGCTATCCTCAATCATACAGGCGAGTCAATGGCTGGGGCGCTGCAACAGCACGCTTGCCTATGGTTCTGGAGGTAGAACAAGTATTTTTGAACAAGGACTGTAAACTACAGGCCTAGTGTACACAATTAGCTCATGTCCACTAAAAAGGACATAGTACATATTTTGAGATGAATTGGGGGTTACCGTGTACTGGTCCATACAGCCCCTGTTCTGGACAGACGCGAGTAGCTGGTACCGGTTTACCGGCCAGTTCAGACACTAAGGGAGCCTCAGGGAAGAAGAAAAGTTACTGTATTGAGCTACTGTAGTCCACGCTTTAAACGCTCTCATCTTCAGAAAACAGCACTATGTTATGTATGCATACAGAAGACCTCAAATAGGGCATACTTTAGTAATGTTATAGACAAATTGTTATTTTTTAGGTTAATGACTTTATTGCAGTGTGATCAATATTTACGTTCTCTTTAGAGAGAATCATTGTGCTTTTTAGGAGGGCCAGTTTGCATTGCTAACAAGACCCAGTTTGCATCTTAGAGCAACGTAGTAGGCCCAGTTAAGTCTTTTCCCTTTTCCCTCACTCTTGGCAGTCCTGCAAATGACTACTTTAAATTATAATATGGAAGTGCTGTTTTATACACCAAAGAATACTGTTTCTATTTTGCTAATCTCCAGTATTAAACAGCAAAAATAAATGATGTGCTGATGTAAAGGTTACGTAATTTACCTAAGTCAAACCTCATCACTTATGATTGAGAAATCAGAAGTTGTTAAACACAAGCATCGTTTAAATAATTCTTAGAAATGGATTGGAAATTACTATCAGGATCTGTCACAGTGTCAGGCTATATCATTGTAAATAGAATAACGCTGTAATATTGGATTGAATTGATTGGATTTATTCGATGTAAACACCAAGGATAACCCACGAACTCCAAAGAAGACTAATTTGCAGTGTGGTCCTTCTGGTAGCAATTGGGCAGTATACTGGGACACAATCCCAATACTCTTGTTCGAAGATTGTATTGTGTACTTTAGAGTGCACATGGCGATAATTTACTATACGCGGGATGAACAGCATACACATTTAATCCAAAAGATTGTGTGCTATTCAAACTTTCATCTCAACCCTTCCACTAAAAAACAAGGAGCAGCAGCTAGGAACCAGACACCATTAGACATCTTTACAGTTCAGTGCACCACAGCTTAACAAACTGAGCTATTAAGCACACAGGGAAAGTCCCTATAAAATTTTCTATAAAAACATTGGGTAAATATTGGACTGTTTCATGTTTTTATAGTACTACGCATTTATCTGGCTCAAATTATTTGGATTTTGGTGAATACAGCAAGTTGTTGTGACTGTTTTTTTGATTGAATGACACATCTGCATAGTACTACAGTATGCTTGTCAAGTTCTTGTTTAGAGAAAAATTACATACAATGATGAGATTTGACTGTATCTTCATTATAAAACATTATGTGAAATTATGCAAATGAAGTTACTGTACTAACATAAAAGTAATAAAAATAACATAAATAATCCCGTGAAATAAAGAAAGTGGTCATAGTGTCTGTAGAAACTATTTCTGTTACAGAAATAGTGTCTGCAGAAACTATCTCTTTGTAGGCTAAATTATTGTTTGATAGATGTCCATATTATTCAAAAAAGCACTATTTGGATTAGAAAGAAAAAGCTTGCAATTTAAAAAAATTTATTATTGCTGCGAAAATTAGACCACTACCGTGATGAAAGCAATTTTATAAGGCAACCAGTGAGGAAGAAATGGAGCTCATTCCATAATCTTTTCACGCACACCTTGCTACAGTAAGTTATCAACCGGCAATTCAGGCTTATAGTTCTTTTTAAAATTTCATTTCCAATAATGTATTTTTCTAGTGAAGATTCTGTAACAATCATTTTGAATTTAAAAGCCTTGTGGTTTCTAAACTAAATGGATGCAAATTGCTAACATTTGATAATATAACATGTATGTAAAAATAATGAATTGCATGTATTTTAATTAATTGCCTATAATACTCTGAAATGCGTACTAAGCTCTAAAACAACAAAAAGAATCATCAGTTTATAGTAATACTGTGTTAGGGTGATTTGCGTCATGTAATCAATAAATGTCAAAATTATCTCCTTCTTTAATATAAAGTTCAACTATGATACATCTCTAGTGTCAGCCAAATCATGGGAATTAATCAGTATTACTTGTAAAAATGTTTGTACATTTGAACAGTAACTAGCCATTATGCATTGAAAAAAAACGAACAAAAGGAATTTTGAAAAAAAAAGTTATTATGCTGTAACATTTGTTGTGATTATTCATCATACTGATGTTTTTATACAGTATTGTGCCCAAAATTCTAGGCCTACTGTATGCTTTAAATGATACAGAAGTTCAGTTGTTGGTTGAGAATATTCCAAATTAATTTTCGATTCAATGATTTGCATCACTTTGAAGGTGTGACATCCAGTAGAGATGTTCACTTACCCGCCCACCATCTTGAAAAATATTGAGACTATCAACAGTCACATTTTCACTTCACATGTTTCATTAAAAGTTAAATATTCTGGCAAAGATACTTCTTGCAGTTTTGATTTATGTTCAAACATCAATATATTTGCTTATGAATATTCGAGAGATAAAATATACAAATTAGATGGTATCCTTTAAGAAAAACAAGAGCAATGCAAAGTTGTTCAAGATTTGATATTTAATTTTCTAAAAATATAACTTAATTTTCCACGCACCTGGATCTTGAGTGGCATCTAACTTGGTGACCTTCACAGTAAGTTTATCGATGCGGTCTTGCAGAATATTAGCTCGGATAAACACCGAGTTTGCCTCTTGGTAAAGGTCACCGAAGATATCCTCTGCATGTTTACTAAGATTGCTCAGTTGGCGTATCACACCGGATAATGTGTTATTTGTCACGCACTCAAGTTCATTCTTGATGCCCCGACTGATTACGGTCCGACTCAGATGAACCGGCTCAACGTGACGTTTTATAAGCGGCATGTTGAGTAACAACTAAGAGTTCAGATCTGTAAAAACAAATTTACATATATAAATAGAATAAATCTTCCTGATGAGGGGCGGACCAGATTCTCCAGCCACATCCTTCCACCCATCACCTTCTTTGATAGCACCAAGGATATCACCAGTGGAAGAAGCTCTTATTCTAAATGTTTTGAAGAACAAGGAAACAATCGGGTAAAAAAAACTTGTAACACAGAAAGCGGCCACTCTAAATTTAGTCTAATGCACCTAAGGCTACAAACAACACTTAAATTACTTCCTGTGGTCATGTAAGCATTCTACAGTAACTTTAAACAAGGAAATAAATTAAGGGAACGATGATTAATGTACTGAAGCTGCGAAGTGGGTAGTTAAAAGTTTATTTACGAAGCATAAATCAACACAGTGTACACTGTCTTTTATCATGTCTTGTGAATAAGATAAGATAATTGTTATTGGTCCTTGGTAATTCTTTCCATTGACACAAGACTTGATCGATAAAGTTTACAGCAATCAAGAAAGTATGTAAGAATATTAAGAAAACATGGGCGAAACACTGACTATCATATAGTATATAATTACTATAGTAAATAAAACAATTGATTTAATATTAATACTAAACTGACTAGTGAAAATTATAATGGTCAAGTTCACACTAGAGTCCTAGCATCCAGATCGGGAGACAATCATTAGCGTTAACCTTTAGTACCTGTGTGAGAATGCCTGATCGAGATACGTTAATGGTTAGCAAACGCTATCGGTTAGCAAGTTGAGCATGTTTCTATCATTAACCAATGACACATGCATTTCCAGTTTCTAGTTACCTATTGGCCACTCATCATCTTGATATCCGCATCAGGATTTTCTTGTATGAACGCATGGGTGAGCATGTACAGGTATGTTTGTAATCCAAACTATTTTTCATGTAAACCTTTCCTCATAGAGGGAACGTCCTCCCAAAAAAAAAAAAAAACCTCCACTTGCACCAAACACAGTTCCATCATAAGAAAACTTATAAAAAAAATAAAAATTCTAGAATGCTTCAGATCAATTTAGTTCTACTTGAACCCAATCCTGGAGCATATCCCTTTTGACAACTAGGACTCCTGGCATCCTCAAAGTATCCTGTTCATACATGAGGGCTAAGATATGATCATGACAAAGAGCCCCATCATACTTATTATATCAGCCCGGGGACACCGTAACTATGGCCGACTCAACACAACCGCTCCGTTTGCATTAATATTTTAAGTCGGTTCAGGGTCGCACTGCGAACGTTCACACATCCTCCTTTGCGCCAGGTTTGCAATGCACTGCACTTATCAAAGCGACCTTGGTGACCCAGGTTCGGTTTACGTTCAGGTATGTATATGACTCAGCCCGGTTCCCGCATTGCGGGACCAGTGCCGACTAAATTCATTGATTGTTCACACTTGAAAAAAAGGTGGCTTGAGCCGCCATAACTATTAAGTGCGACTAAAGCTCAAATTCAACTGCTGAAACAGGATACAAAACCTACTGTACTTTTGGTTTAACGTCAAAATATTTTCGATAAAAATAATCAACGATACAATTGAACTGAATCTTGGAAGTCTGTATTCAAATCTCAGCCTACTAGAGTGAACATCACTCATTAGATCTAGTACTTCACCACCATCTTGAAAATGCTGATTATGATCCCATGGTGACTATAAACTTATCCCATAAAAGCTCTTCAATCATGACCATTCCAGTCCAAGTCCTAGAACCCAGGATATTACACAGTAACTGGTCAATGTTCAATGTGTGTTCGAGAGATTTATACTATATATTATGAAATTACATTGTATATGATGTATTCTGTATCATCTGTAGTGTTAACCACATAAATTTATATATATTTTAGTTTGTTATTCAATGGTTTCAAATGAAATTTTATTATACTATATGGAAATATGAATATTAAAAAATATTTCTTTATTATTGTATATACAGTACATAACAGCCATGATTATGTAGAGTTACTTTATAAAACATAACATTGTGCATTGTTTGTCCCATGGCAATAAAGAATAGAATAGATAAATTTAGGCTATAGAAGAAATTACAACACTGGATCTAATGATCTATTTATACTCAAGGCAAATGCACTCTACCATAGCTAAAGTTAGACACAAATTACCATAATTTATACAAATTAAAGATACTTTAATGAAATATGATTAGAATTTTATTTATACTGTATTTGGTTGATAAATTTCCTCTTAAATGCTCGTAGAGTGTTAAATAATTGAGTACTCATATTATAAAGTGTTGGTTAAAAATCTATCCAGTACAATTTAATTCCATTTCTTTCTTTATAACAGGTTTTCAACATTTCGGGCACTTGTACTTCGCAAATATTTAGCAATTTTTACAATGTTATAATGATGTTTGTATTTTTACTTAAGATTTCAAAACCATTTATAAAACAAAATAAATAAAATGAAACTACTACTGTATATTATACCTTGAAGCTGAAAATTTAAACAAAACCAAATTTCTCCACCGAAGACTGAATAATGCCATTTGCATTTAAATTTCTTGCAGCAAATTTAAAGGTTTTTGTACTAAAGAGTCAGAAATTATTAAAAGCTTTATTAATTGTTATTTATTGAAAATCTATGTGGCTTTTTTAATTTTCTGTTTGTAAAAAAATGTAAACTGAGGAATATTAAAAGATGTTCATTACTAAGTACTGAAGTAGAGCCATTATAAGTGTCAAGTGTTCGGTGAAGTAGAACACAAACTGGTTATAAATAAACATACACCACTGCCTTGGAGCTGCCATAATTATTGACGTTCATGAGGCAAACATTTCCAAGTGTCTCTGGAGACAACCTTCTGATTGGAGATTCTCTCAATGACCTACTGTACAATCAATGTTTAGCTGGGAGAGAGGTATAATTACATGAAACAATTTTAATAGCTATTGCATCATCAGCTTTTCATTATGATGAATGCAGGTATCTTTTCTGAGATATATGGTAAAACAATATCTTCGGTCAGTTATTTCAATACAGTATTATCAGACTTTGTTAATGTCATTTAAGTGAGAAACTGATCATTTTTTTTAATTAAAACTATGAGCATTACACTTAAGACTAGTCCATAATTTAACAATTTAGGGATCCCAAGTTTGAAGAAGTCAATTCCAGAAGATCTGTTTAAACAAGCTTTCCTAATAGCTCATTTATTTTGGTGATACAGTACCAATCGACACTGACTTCAGTGAGACAAATGATAAAAAAGGTCTAAAACTGTAGTAAAATCATGCAGATTCAATACATTTTTTGGTCATGAAAGGAGAAAAATGTATCCTCTAATTCAAGACCACTTTTGGGACCTAAAAATTTGTGTTTGTCCCAGGGTTCGGTCTCTATTTAGATGGTTAGCTTTTTCCTAAAAGTTTTACGTTTGTTCCTTGAAAACAGTGGCCTCAAGTTGGAAGTTGCACTGTATCTATTTATAATTCTGCACTGATCATGACACACCCACCATTAAATGCAACCTGTGGAGAGTAGCTAGGATTGTGGTCATGCTGGGCATGCCATCTTAATACACCATTTACGTACCGACACTAGTGCGACATTAACACCCAGAGGCAATTTCTTGTATCCTGCATCAGCTTCTCCACAGGAGTCTTGGCGCGAACATGATGAGATAAATAATATACTGAGACAGACAAAAGAATGCTTCGCTAATCTAGGCTGCTCTACCTGTATTTTTTTAGAAAATTGTTTTATAAAGTAGTTAAGTGTCGAACATGGTTTCAACCTAAATGGCATTAATTAGTTAGAGACTGTTATTAAATTTATTCTTAAAACATACAATATTTCATTCGGAATAAGACAATGATGTTCCAAAAACAATAATTAATGTTCTTCTGCAAAATTTTTCAGACAAAATGATTAAAAGATGGATAATAATTAGAGATTTGTAAGTGCCTCAAGTGGAAATAACCACAAGGCGCCAACAACAATTAATAAAAAATGACAAAGAAATTACAGCACAAAGTACTGAGCACACAAAAATCTTACCAAGAATTCTCATCAACAGATGTCACTGCCAATTTTAAGGCACTGAGCCATACCTTCAGTAAACTCACATACACTTTGAGAAAGGTGACTACTAAGCAATTTAATTAAACAAAACTAGAAGAATATTAATTAATAAACAAAAGACAAGTGGGTTTAATATTGGAAATCAGTAAAAACCTCCCATAGTCACAAAATAACCCACTGCAACCCAAGTGTATTATTATTAAAAGGATATGATAAAGTAAGAAACAGTAGAAATGACTCATGCGTTCTCTAATAAAAATAACACTCCATGGCTCTCTAGAGGCCAGTCCAATCTGTATTTTGCCCTACTTTGATTGTCAAATATACATCAACTAATAAGATCAACCCCAAAAATATTAGAATCATCACAAAATAACCCTAAAACCTGTAGATACGTGACTCATTCTCTCCCTGTATCAACTTTTTGCTCTGTAACTTTAATAATAATACTGTAATAACCTTAAACTGAATCGTAACAAAATAGACATAAAAATTACTAAACAATTTCCTTTTATGTATTAAAGAAATAATTTGTTCAACTGTACCTTGCCTTCCAAATAAACAATAAATAATTGTATAACTCTCCAAATAGTAGAATATCATGAAATATACAAGTACATATATTTCCAATCACTTTTATTCATCAATATATCTATACACATTAAACTTTTGGAATGATTAAAAGGAAACGAAAAACCTCAGACTTGTCATGTATTAAAGAATACGCAGGGTACCTCAAGACAAGAACGTCACAAATAAATTCAAACATCAAGAAACAACGAAAAACATATTGAAAAGAAAAATTAAGCAGTTCTGCATCATGGACCAGACGTTCCCAAAAAGTAGTGAAACAAATCTATAGAAGTTGAATAGATGTGGGTTTAAACAGGTGGGTTCATCTATGGCATAATAAATGCTATAAGATGAAACTAAGGCAATTATTG